TTAAACAAAACTTGGAATGCAAAAATAGTTCTAGTCATGCAGGTGTTTCTTTGTTCACAGTTTACACAGTCTCAGAATCAAGGACATTGTGTCATATTAGGCTGAGGGAGTTTTGAAATGTGAGAGCAGTAATTCAGTATCCACATGACCTAAAAGGCTGGGCTGAATCACAGCCTTCAAACACATTATGAAACACTTCCATACAAAAAGGATGTCATAGCCCTTGGCTTTCTCCAGTAAACATTATATAATGTGTAAAATAACAGAACAAACAACTTGGACAGGTGTGACACAGAGCATGAACACCTACCTCATCATTCAAGGTAGATGAAACATACCATTGTTGGGAAATAAAGTGAATCAGACTCACAAAGAGTCCTGTCTCTTAATCTGGAGGATCGTTACACAATGTCACATAATAGTGAATAAGACTTCAAAAGCAATAGCAATAAAATCATGTTTTTTAATTGTAAATAAAAACTATGTAGACAAAAATTTTCTTTAGGTGCCACCATCAACAGGCATTGTTGCCACTAGGAGTACCAGTTTCAATTTAACAGAATATTCACTAAACATGTAACAGATGAAGTCCCCTGCGGCCACCTAGTCTACATGCTGTTTGATTCTGGCTACAGGTAGAACAGTTCACCTTATCATGGCCAAAACCACAGCTGTGAATCTTAATTTCTTTCTCTAGACATCAAAGGAAGGCAACTGAAATTAAATAGATCTGTATGGGATGTTGGAATATTGAGATTTCTTAGGGCCCCAAATGCATCTCTTCTCCAGGAACCATGGTCAAGTATTGTTCAGAGTTTTTCACACCTCAATATATTAAGAACACCAAACCATTAGAGTATGTCCAGAGAACAGTGGCCATGATGGTGAAAGATCCTGAGGATAAATCTTTGGAGCAGCAGCTAAGTTCTCTTGGATTCTTTGGCTTGAAGAAGATAAAGGTGAGGTGTGACCTCCTGGCAGACTACAACTTCCTCTAGGAGAGCAGGGGAGGGGATAGTCCTGATCTCCTTTCTCTGGTCCAAGCGATAGGACACAAGGAATTGGAACCAAGCTGCATTAATGTCCCATCAGATGGGACATTATGAAATGGTTCTTCACTGAAAGGGTGGCAAATCATTCGAACAGACTCCCCAGGGAAATGATCATGACAAAAAGCTTGCCAGGTTCAAGGAGCATATGGATGATACTTTAGTCATCATTAGGTTAAGTTTTAAGCAGACCTCTGAGGAGCAGAGACTTGGGCTTGACGATCCTGCAAGCTTCCTTTCAACTGGAGATATTCCATCTTTCTCTGATTCTGATTTAGCTGCCAAAGGCTCAAGCTCACCACTGGCTTCATGCAGCTCTGTGACCTTGAGTCAGAGGTATGCTTAGAAAGAGTGGTGTGAGAAATAGCTGTATGTGGTGGGGTTGTGTCCACTTTTGCTGTAGAGCAGCTTCTCAGCTCTTGCCTTGTCTCAACTTGTGCTTGGTCTTCCATCTTCCAGCCTCTTGGCCCTGATCCTGACCTGATCATTTAATATTTTGTGTTGGTCTTGGACTGCCTCGTTCCTACAGGCTTGCCTGGTGGTCTGGTCTGCGAGCTGAGCCTCGATGCCATCACTAGACCTGCTCTGCTCTTCGTGCTCAGGTACTGTGGGACTGCACCCATGCCAGTGTCCTGCCTGCCTCCACCCCTGGCTTGCCTGCTCTCAAACTGGCCTGCCCTTACTGCTTCCTGCTCAGTACAGCAGGGATCCTTTGGAGGGTACAGAATAAATCCTCATGCTGGTTCTGTGGGCAGAGCTCTTAAAAAGCATGAATACAGCAAGGAACACCTCTACCTTTAAAAGCATACCTCACCTCTTACATAGAATTTCTGCTACCAAGGGAGTCAGATGAGCATTTGAATCTACTTCTCTTCTAAGTCTTAGAATGGAGAAACAATTGAGGGAAAAGGACCTGATTTTGTTGCAATGTTAAACATCCTGGCAGCAGCTTTTGGATGTCTGAGCTTTGTAAGCTAATCTGTCAAGCTCATTCAAACAAATCAGATGTATGCTACTGTATTTGGTGACAGACTAAGTTATACAAGTTTAGCTGGTTGTTTTTTCTTAGTGATGTTATTCAAAAAGTACACTCCATATGTTTGAAACTTAGAAGTGGGCCTAGTATTGGCAAGGGCAGACAAGCTGACACCTATCAAAATGCTAAGTGTGTCATGAACAAATCAGTTGCAAGAACAGACATTTTTACATTTGCAAAACTGACCCCCACTGTTATGATGAAGGTAAATTTATGTCCATGAGATTTCTCAGCTGTGAAGGCTCTAGTAAGAACACTATTTCCTATAATCTGAAGAAGGAATAAATGACTAAAAATTCCATAGTAGTGGAATTACTTTTCTGATTATCTTTTGAGCATGCAGTACAATTTAAACATGTGATCCTGAGGTTGACATACTCCAGATAACAAAATCAGCATCAAAATGGCTGATGTTTAGATATGATAATTGTGGGCATGTGTCCTTAGGTTTAATCATTCTTCTTTGCTAAGAATGAGCTGAAAAGCTTTTAGCTTTAGGTGTTTTAATTTTAGCAGGGAAACTAAGTAAGGGAACATATTAGAATTTTCTTTTTGTTTTGCTAAAGACTTGTTTGCTAACAAGAAGAAGGCAAGAGGGATGTACACCTAATGCTACAGACTGTTAAAGCATTCCATTTCATAGAGCTAAGAATTCACATATTGAATTATTACACCTACAATAAGAAGAAATGAAAGCTAGATTAAGGCATGATACACTTTAGTTCTTCAGTTATGTTATTCATTACAACAGTAGTAAAAACAATGCTATTACATTAATGAGGCCACCTAGAGTACAGAAGCATTTGATCATTCTTTAATCAAATATCAGACAAATGTACTTCTGTGTTCTGTAACCTTCTTAAGATACAAAAGCATGCAGCATATTAATCTTTGGGTCTTGCACTATCCCAACATGTCCTGTCCTTGAATATATATAGGAGTAGGACAATTTATAAGGGTTGTTTGAAGTTAATTTAGTACATCAGCAGTATTAATCATGATTTTCACCACTTTTGTCTTGGATACTCAGACCTAACTGTAGGGAATGACAGCCAAACTACAAATATTTGGGTTTGATAATGCAATTTACAGAATAAAGATAGACTACAAATCCACTTCAACATGAAACACCAAAGTTCTTAAAGATTTCTAGCAGAAAAAGAATCCTTAATCCCCAGTGCTGCATAGGAGATTTGTTGGCTTAAGTACAATTGTAAAAAAAAGAATGTTTATTGGCTGGCACATACTGTGAATATATCATTCATGGTCAAAAAACTGCAAAGCTTTCACAGAGTAGCTATTCAATAGGGTGGAGAAAAAATAAACAGTCTTTTTGCTTTATAAAACTCCAAAAATCCCCCACCATTGTGCAATGTCACAAGAATTCCAATTAGCTCTTCTAGGAACAGAGATATGCAGAAAGTGGACTACACCATGCTCAGCACATCAGTAAGTACACATAAGGATTACTAGAGAATTCATTCTGTATGCAGAAAAAAACCCTAGCCTCAAGGAACTAGTTTATCCTTAGACTGAACTAATGAGACAAAGGTAGCTAGAGATTACACTGAGAGAAATATTTAGCAGCTTCTTTATACAGAAAGATTCTGGACTACTGACACATGTCAACACATCTGAGTGAAATGAATACATTTACTCACAGCTTGTCTTCACCACACACAGCCAAACACTTCACAGGCCCTTCAGTTACCGTTGGTGTGAGAAAAGCTTTGCTTTCATCCGAGTAACTCCCCCATTTTTCATGTCTGTATTGCATTCCCAGCATTGTATCTTATTTTATTATTCCTGGATTTTTGGAGTGCTGCTTCCACTTCCCTGCCCACTCCCTCATTGTGATCTTTGATCAGTGGATCCTTCCCTGAGAGTTACAAAAATTAATGACACACTTAAAATACACACAGGCACATACGTAACCATAAATAACAGAACAGGGTCATTTAAAGGAATTCTATATTAGATGTAAAAGAAAGTGCAGATTTGCAAGGCTCAGTGACAAAACTACACTTAACATAAAACACGCTCAATGTGGTCTTTTAAAGTACTCTGATGAAGTACTAAGGGTTGTCACGTTTTGTGAAAGTTATAGTTAATTCTGAAATTTCTGCTCTCTCTTTGACAACAGCTGATGAATTCAGAAAACCAAAACAAGTATCCTGATCTACCACGGCCTTGTGGTTGAATTATTCTGAATTTCGTAAAGTGCAAGTCACAAATGAAGCCTCCCCATCTGGGAGTATTCCCATAACACCTCCTCATTCCTATTAAAGATGCACTGCAGCTTTCAGTCAAGGTGGTAGTCTGGGCTGGCTTTCACAGATCTTAAAAGCAGCAAAATGATTACGTACAAGACTTGTACTACTTTGCCAATATAACGAGTGAATAGCTTCACAAACTGTTAGGAGGAGAAGGACAGCAGGAGAAGTAATTATGTAAGATCTATGTTTCAAATCCCTTCTTTTTCTTCCCTGCCACAATGAATCAGGTACTTTTCCTTTTTAAAACAATAAGGAAGAGAAAAAAATTGAAAGGCAGACAGAACAGACAATTTCTTTTATGTGAAAGACTGGAAGGAGAAATTAATTTTGCAATGGTTATATTAAAAAGCTTGTATATAGCTGCTGACTATGTCAGTGCTTATTTTGGAAGATGTATCTGAATTTGACATTCAAGCATCAGAACTGTGTCCCCTCTAGCCGAATACACAATTTTACCAGAAATAGAATATACTTATGTAATATCCACCTACTTTTAACTTAGCTATGCAGCATGCAAAAACTTCTTTATCGTGGTACCATTAGATACAATATTTCAGAAACAGTACCTAAGTTCCAATAAATTGATATAGTTATACTCTGCCAAGATTTACAAACTACAGACCAAACAGGGACACGTAACTTCTCCAACAGTTTTAATGCTCACATAAATGGCTGAGTAACACAAGTACAGAGATGCATGTCAGATAGCTTCCAAAGATCTTGGAGTTTTTGGGGGTCCTGGACTGGAATCTACCCAACATTATTTCAGTTTACAAAAAGGGCATGAGGGAAGATCTAGGAAGGCCTCTTGGTACAGTCTCAGTACCTGGAAAAAACATGGAGAAGATCACACTGGCCGCAGTTGAAAGGCACTTGAAAAACAATGCAATCATCAGGCAGATCAACAAAGTTTCACAGAAGGAAAGTCCTGTTTGACAAGGTTACCTACCTAGTGGTTGAAGGGAAGGACATGGATGTAAGAATTCGTAAGTGTGGTTAAGCCTTCAGTTGCTGTCCTTCACAGCATCCTCCTGCAGGTGTTGTCCAGCAGTGGGTTCACCCAGTGCTGCTGAAGGCCTGGCTGAAGCGCGGAGCCCAGCGGGATGCAGTGACTGGGGCTGCCAGCGGTGCTCCTCAGGCGCAATTCTGAACAACGTGCTGTACCCTTTGCTTGGCCCTGAAGTGGCCAGCCAGTTGTACCAGGTAATAGTTGTAGGTACCTTTCAAAAGAACTATCCTATCCAATCCTACACTATCCTATCCTGTCCTCAAAAGACACTACAAGAGGCTGACCACAACAGACAGGTTTTTAATAAAAACACACAAATAACGCAATTTTTCACATCGCAAAAAACTGCATTCCGCGGTCTGCTCCCCATCGTTCTTCGCGCTGAGCGGCCTCAGCACGGCCGAGCGCAGGGAGACGCCACGGGGCTCCGGCCCTGCCGAGAGCCGCATTCCAGTTTCCGGAGGCACAACGAGAACGACCCATCCGGGTACCTCGGAAACGCCCTCTTCCCGGCTTACAGATTTTGATTAGCGGAGCGCCGAGCCCTCCCGGCGGGCCGGGCAGGGCCGGGCCGGGCCGGGCAGGGGCGGGCCGGGCAGGGGCGGGCAGGGCAGGGCGGGGCGGCGGGCGGGCTCTGCTCGCTCCCGCCGGGCCGGGCAGGGCGGGGCGGCGGGCGGGCTCTGCTCGCTCCCGCCGGGCCGGGCAGGGCGGTGCGGCGGGCGGGCTCTGCTCGCTCCCGCCGGGCCGGGCAGGGCGGGGCAGGCGCCTCCTTCCTGTTTCCGCTCGGGATCCCGGCGCCGCGCAGGGCCGCGGTACCGCGGGGCAGCGGCGGGCGGCGGCGGCCCCGGGAGCGCGGCTCGGGCTGGGCGGCGGGGGACATCGCCGTCGTCTGGCGGCCCGCCCGCGTGTTCTCTCCGCAGGAGCTCGGTCGCCCTTCCGCCGCTCGGCAGGCCCGGAGGGTGCCGGGGCCGCAGGTGAGGCGGTGCCGGCCGAGGGGGCGGCAGGCTCGCAGGGAGGCGGCAGAGCCGCTCGCAGGGAGGCGGCAGAGCCGGCAGCGCCGCGGGTTCGGCTGCCGCCAGCTCAGTACCCAGAGCGCCGCCGGGGCTCCCTCACGTCCCTGCTGAGACCTAGAGAGATAAACCCACCAAGCTGGGCTTTCCTTCACTTCAGACAACCACAAACCGCACTTTTTTCCCGTTTAGCAATGCAGTCTTGGTAGCATTTGCAGCTCTGTTGGATTAAACGCCTAATTATTCTGTAAGTGTGAACTTTAACGTTGGATGGATGCTTTGTATTACACTTTCACATACTGTGCACTGCTTTTAACTTCTAGCAAAAATGATCTTGCCCTTTGATAGTGAGCAAGAACAACTTTCATTAAAATGGTACTTGGTATCACAAAATCGATAGGGTTGGAAGGGACCTCTGGAGATCATCCAGTCCAACCACACTGCCAAGGCAGGGTCACCTAGAGCAGGTGTCACAGGAACCCGTCAGTGTGAGCTTTGTGTATCTCCAGAGGGAGACTCCGTAACTTCCTTGGGTAGCTTTTCCAGTGCTCAGCTACCCTCAGTGTAAACTTGTTCTTCCCCATCTGAAGGTGGAATTTCTTGTGTTCTGTTTTTGTGTGTGTGTGTGCTTTTATTTTGCTGCGTACTCAGAAATTATTTTTGTAAATATTCTACAGGGTTTTCTCAATAGGAAAACAGAAAAGATGTTCGATATTAAGGCTTGGGCCGAGTACATCGTGGAGTGGGCTGCCAAGGACCCCTATGGCTTTCTGACGACCGTGATCTTGGCTCTCACGCCGCTGTTTGTAATTAGTGCGGCGCTGTCATGGAAGCTTGCAAAAATGATTGAGGCCCGGGAACGAGAGCTGAAGAAGAAACAGAAACGCCAGGAGAACATTGCAAAGGCGAAACGAACAAAGAAGGATTAAATGGGCAAAAATGGCCTTCCTTGTGCAAAGAATCCACTTTTAAAATGAAATACTTGTACATTTTGTGTTGCAACTGTCCTTTGATACTTGATCCTGTTATTTCTTGAAGTATGAAATTTAATACTTCCAGTGTATTTTTTTCCTGCTGATTTGCGTTAAAATTTGCCCAAGTGACACTTGTTAGAGTAATTAAATTTACTACTTGTATTCTAGTGCAGGTTGCTTTTCTAAATTTGCATGTTAGATTAAAAAATTAACCTCTTGGTGGCTCTGGAGGTAGATTATTATTTTTCCTCTTAGCTGAGCTATGACTTAACAAGTATCTTTAAATTGTCAAGTTTAGGGGAAAATTTCAAGTTTAAGAAAAAATAATAAACTGGATTAAAGAAATGCAAGTTTCGGCGTACCTTGAGCAGACACGGTAGCTGTAGCATTAGTTAGCAGACATGACTGATTTCATTTAAGGTCACTGCATGGCTGTGTGTGCCCATAGTGGCTGCTGCAGTGTCTTTGATGGTGCTGCTTGTCTGCAGAAATAACCTACCTTAGCCTTTCCTGTTTCCTGAACTACAAGCCATCAACAGCCTTTAACTCAGCCCAAATTCTAGGAAACTGATTGTTGTTATTAGCTTAATTTCTCTTGAGGCATTTGTGTTCTATAAAATACAGTATTGTTGTTTGATCTTCCCGAACAATTACCTGAATACTCCACCTGTAACTAATTTGTTTTTGCCTTCATAAATTCTTCATGCCTCAAAGAATAGCCATAAGTTGGGTGAGACCAAAGACCCAGGTGGCTTAGTGTTCTGCTGTAACTGATAGCTGTGTAAGGATGATGCACAAGATTGTGACAGTACTTCTGGTGACAGTAACCTCCTGGCTACCTTTGATCTAAAACTTGAGTTTAAGTAGGATTTTTGTTCTCATGGCCCTTGAAATTTGGCTGCCTTACAGGTTGCAAGATGCTGACATAGACAAAAAAGTCAGGTTTGTGTTGTAAATACTTCAAAATTATTTGACTTTCCAATTAATCTCTTCTTAATATAATTGATTATTTTTTCAAAGGCTAATTTTTTAATGATAGTCTGTGGTGGCCTCTACGTAGTCTAGTTCAAAAGAGCTTGTAGCAGTCATTAAGATTTTACATTTTGCGTATTTCTAAACAGCAGCATGGAGTATTCTAGCAGATACTCTTTGATCAGGTTTAAAAGTAAAACCTTTAAATAATACCATTGTTAAAATGAAGAGACCTACAGAGCTGGCTGACACCAAGGGGGATCAGAAATGGGGAGTCTCACTGAAAATATTTTTAAGTGTGAAGTTGATCCCCTTTCAATTTCGTTGGTAAAAGCAAGCATTACTAGAATATGACATTTGGGGATTTTATAAATATGTGAGATTAAATCTCCATGTTTTGTATGAAGTGTTGTCAATATGTGTGTGTTTGACCTTTGATACCTACATAGCTTGAAACACAGGGAAGAAAACTGATGAGGGATACACTCCGTAAATAAATTTGATACTTTTTGAAAAAAAAATTGTGTCTTTATTTTTATTTGAAGTTCTCATACATCATCTCTAAGCAAATAATCTGCAAATTTTATGTAAACTATGGCTAGAATGATCTAATCATCTAGGGAAGTCCATGGATACACCAAGAATAAAAACTAATATTTTTTTTAAATATTCATGACAGTCCCATGTCCCAGACCTAGTGTTATTTTCCAGGAGCTTTATCAATCTTCTATTATAGCAGTTATATGTATTTTAACTGATTTTACCCTGTGCAAATTGCTGTCTGCAAATCAAACATTCAAATATGTTGACTGTTTTAAAATCAAACATTCAAATATGTTGACTGTTTTAAGAATGTCTCTATGATGAGTACAGTGCATAATCAGTGCAGTGTCAATAGTGATTCCTGTTAATGAAATCAACTTTTCCGTCTACTTGCCAATGGAAAGCATGCTGGCACTGCCAAGGGATTTATTCCAAAGAGAATAAATGGCCAAGGCTGGGAAAAATGCAAGTGTACAGACAATTCTTACATTAAGAATAGTTTTAAAACTAAATTAATCTTCAAGGAAAAAAGCAATTTAGACTTTAAGAAAATTTAGATAGTCTTTTAACTATGAATTGAAGAGTAACTGATGAACAGCAACTGTCAAAACCAAACTTAGTAACATACCCTGTTTTTCACTAAACCCAAATGCTTTACATACTTTGTCATGATCAAGCCTATTTGAACAGTTCTGCAAAAGTAACTGAAGCTGCTATAACACTACTTTATTGTACTCTTGTATATAACAGCTATGCATGTTATCTGTTGAAATATTAATCCATTAATATCTGTCCATTAAATTGCTTATTTATTTTGACTACTACCACTGCCTGGTGGCATCCAGGCACCTGGCTGGAAGGTATTTGCAGTGCTTGTGGGGTCTTGTGAGGGCTCCTTCTTTCCATAGTAAGGGGCAGATGCGTGGCCTTTAACCTGAGTATGACTTGGTTCAGCAACAAGTCCTTCCTCATACTCTTTGGCCTGAAGCAGCTTATCCTTTTCAGATACATCCTTGACTTTCTGCTTCATTTCTTCTCTATAATTTTCATTCCTAAGAATCTCCTAAAAACACAGTAGAAAGATAATTAAGATTTAATAAGATAATTAAATCAGAAGCAAAGGCAATATACAGTGTCGCAAAAAAACATTTTAAACAGTCATTTCTTTTCTTAATTTTATAACCCACATTTGCAGGTATTAAAGTAAAATAAAATGTGGCAAATTTGTTTGGTTTTCCACAACTTCAAATTCAACCCTAACTGTATTGTGGTGTCCACCTCACTATTCTATTGGAGCAAAAAGAAGAAATTTGGAAATTAAATACATCAACAAATGTGAAAGTACATTAACAATAAGGCTACTTTTTGCATTGTTTTCTATGTAGGAGTTGATACTTACAGCTATTTATCATTTGCATCTCTTCATGTAATTCACTATGCCTATGGTGTTAGGTAGCTGTGCTTCAGGGCACAGTTTTGGGAGAAACGTGCAACCTTTGGGGTCTTGCTAGTGCAAGACTACAAAATAAATAAAATCACAAAATCATGGATTGGTTAGGTTGGAAGACAGTGGAGTGGGTCATTTGGTCCAAGTTCATTCAACCCATTCAACCGCCATGCTCCAGCAGGGTCATCCCAGAGCACACGGCACAGGATTGTGTCCAGATGGTTTTTGAATATTTCCAGTGAGGGAGCCTTCTCAGCCTCTCTGGTCAGTTGGTTCCAGTGCTTGGTCACCTGCACAGTAAAGAAGTTTTTCCTCACATTCAGGTGGAATTTCCTGGGCATCAGTGTCTGCCCATTGCTTCTTGTCCTTTTGCTTGGCACCACTGAGCAGAGCCTGGCTCCATCCTCTTGATACCCTCCCATCAGACACTGACAGGCATTGATCACATCCCCTCTCAGTCACCTCTCCTTAGCTTTTCCTTGTAGGAGGGATGCTCCAGTCCCCTAATCAACTTCACTGCCCTCTGCTGGACCTGCTCCAGCAGTTCCATGTCTCTGTTGTCCTGAGGAGCCCAGAACTGGACACAGGACTCCAGGTGAGGTCTCACCAGGGCTGAGCAGAGGGGCAGGATCACCTCCCTCTACCTGCTGGCAATGCTCCTCCTAATGCCCTCCAGCAGGACTTGCTGCTGGTTCATGGACAGCTTGTTGTCCACCAGGACCCCCAGAGCTGCCTCCCAGCAGGTCAGCCCAGCCTGTGCTGGTGCCTGGGGTTGTTCTTCCCCACATGCAGGACCCTGCATTTGCCTTTGGTGAATTCAGAAGGTTCCTCTCTGCCCATGCCTCCAGCCTGTTGAGGTCCTCAGGGGCTGCATGGCCCTCTGGGGTGTCAGCCATTGCTCCCAGCTCTGCATCCTCGGCAAACTTGCTCAGGAGGCATCTGTCCCTTCACCCAAATCACTGGTGAGCAAGTTAAACAGTCCTGGGCCCCGTGCTGAACCCTGGGGAGCAACACCAGTGACATTCCAGCCAGACCCTGGGCCAGTGATTACATCCAGCCAGACCCTGGGCCAGTGATTACATCCCAGCCAGACCTTGGGACAGTGATTACATCCAGCCAGACCCTGGGACAATGACTACATCCAGCCAGACCCTGGGACAATGATTACAAGCCTCTGGGTTCTGCCATTCAGCCAGTTCTCAATCCACCTCACTGTCCACTTATCCAGTCAACACCTCTTGAGTTTTCCTACAAGGATGCTGTGAGAGACAGTGTCAAAAGCCTTGCCGAAGTTGAGGTTCTACTGCTCTCCCCTCCTCCATTCAGGTAGTTGTTTCATCATAAAAGTCAATCAGGTAGGTCAAGCATGACTTATCTGCAGTGAATCCATGCTGACTATTCCATGCTGACCTTCCAGTCATCCATGTGGATAGAGATGGCCTCCAGATAAAGGCTGAATTCTTTTCTCCAGATTAGAAGTATATGGAAGAGTTAGGGAGAAACTATAGCAGTACACTCCTCTGTGAACAAGAGACCATGATATTATTTTAGGAATTCAGGTGTTAAAATACATGCTGTACTGACAAGAGTTTAAATAGCAACTATGAACACCTAAGAATGCTTAAAAGGGAGTAATTAAAGAAAACCTTATGTAGGGTTTGTTGACCATGGCTGAATGACCATGCTGACATGGCTGAATGCCAGATGCCCACCAGAGCTTGTCACTCCCCTCCACAGCTGGACAGAGGAGAGAAAATAAAATAGAGAGTTCACAAGTTAAGGACTATGAGAGATCACGCACCAAATACCATCACAAGCAAAACTGACTCAATCCTATCACAGGATAATGAGAAGTAAAATTAAATCTTAAAGTCACCTTCCCTCTACCCCCCTCCCTCCTTCCCAGCTTTGTCTCCTCCTTGTAGCAAGTGCAGGGAGACAGGGAATAGGAGTTATGGCCAGGTGAACATACATTCCTGCTGTTGCTCACGGGGAGGAGTCCTTCCCCTGTACCAGCACAGTATTCTGCCCATGGGAGACAGTTCTCCATCAGCTTCTCCAAATTGAGTCAATCTAATGAGCAACAGCCCTCTCCAAACTACTGCAATATAGGTCCTTCCATGAGGTGCAGTACTCCAGGCACAGCCTGCTGCAGTGTGGGTCCCCCACAGGATCACAAGTCCAGCCAGCAAACCTGCTGCACTGTGGGCTCCTCTCTCCATGGGCAGGCAGGTTCCTGTCAGGACCCTGCTCCAGCACAGGCCTCCCACGGGCTCACAGCCTCCTCTCAGGCATCTGCCTGCTCTGGCCTGGTCTCCTTCAGGCCTGCAGGTGGATCTCTGCATCCCCTGGATGTCCATGGGCTGCAGGGGCACAGCTGCCTCACCA